GGTGCCCTGGTGAGACCCATTGTGGACACAGGTGGGAAGGTGTGGACCCCCCTGAGCACACGTGTGTGGATCCGAGCGCCACGAGACACTGCTGCGGGGGCTCTGGTTCCCCGTGGACACCGGTGTGGGCTTCTGGGCTCCTCTGGACACGTGGGGAGCTTCAGCAGCCTGCACGACAGCGGTGGGTAGCATGAACCCCAAGCTCTGGCAGCCCCCTTTCCCTCCCGCTCCTTCCGCGATTTACCTGATTCGGATCAGGCCCCCAGCCCCACACGCCCCGGCGCGGCCTCCGCCTTCCGGCCCGGCCCCTAAGTCCCACTCCCGCATCCGTGGGGCGTGCTTTGGGGGGGGGGGGCGCCCCGCACGGAGAGCCTGGGCGGAATCCGGTCCGGAAGAGACCGGTTTGGGGGGCGAGGGGCGTGGCCCAAGTCACTGACTACGCTGGGAGTTCTTGGAAGTCGCTCGGTGCGGCGCGCAGGGGCGGGACCCGGGGGGGAAGAGAGCGAGACGAGGTGAACTCGTCTATCCCGCCCCCATCTGTGATTGACACCCCGATCGCTCCGCCCCGCGGTGTGGTAGTTACTGACCTCGACCTCCCCGCCTAGGACTCACATTTCCTGGCGGAGATCGAGGCCCCGCCCCGCCTGGCCTAGGCCTGCGCCTTCCCGGCTCGGACGCGCGGACCTCGCCCCAGGTTCCTGGAACCGGGCAAACCGGTCCGGGTGTTGTTTCTGTGGCTCAGCCCTTTCCCAGGTTTGCGGAGGCTGTAGCGGGGCGCCTGCCCCTTAGGTCCTGCCGAGAGGAGAGTGGAGGGGATCTTGGATGGCCGACACGACTAGAGCCGTCCCTTACTTGCTCTCCTGCAGGGCGATCCTCTCTGGCCTCAGTTTCCCATCCGTAAAAGGTGGAGTTAAAAGGACCAGTCTCAAAGGAGAGGTTGCAAATGAATCATTCATTCACAAAAACCACTTAGTAAGCACCTGCTAGACTCGTCTCTGGCCTCGAAAGGAGGCCCCAGGCCAGAAGAAGAGACAAACCCAGAAACGAATATAAAATTGCTTTGTGATGTTACAGGGGGGGAAAAAAAAAAAAAAAAGCTCCTAATCTGAGCGTCCGTAAACAAAGGTCTTGGACCAAAATGGGGGGCATTTGTAGCTTTGTCTCTCATCCAGAGGCAGAATTTTTCTAACTCTGAAACGGTGGCCAAACTGATTCAATGCTATTTAAATAAGAGGACGAATCCCTTTGTTTCTCTCTTTTCAGCTTTTAGACTTTCCCTAGTCTTCTGACTGAAGATAGGCCCTTTCCTGTCTCCTGTGGTAATAATGTGTCGTAAACCGTGGCTAATCTCTGTGCCTAAGAAAGCTGTCCGGACCCTCATACTGGCTACTGTTTCAGCAGAATCTTATGACATTGTTTTGTTTTCACTGTAGCTTGTATTAAAGGTTACCTTCTAAGTATGGTCCGTGATTAACAAGTGGCTTACGTTCAGAAAAATTTTTAGATAAATAATAGTACAGTTGTTTTGCAGATATGACAAAAATCCTGGCCATCAACGGTCTGAAATTTGGTAAATTCTATGCTAAGAGTCACGGGCAGCCACTGATTAAATGCGACAATAACTACTAAGCACTTAGCACTTGCCTCCCCCAGCCAACCTCATCGACTCTTCCAGGCCTGGGTTGGGCATTCCTGGAACGGACATTTGAACACAGATGCGAACTAGAACATTAATTTACCCTTCCAGACGGTGAGTAGTGTTTGAAGGAAGGCTGAGAAGAGGGGCAACGGGGCTGGGAGGCAGAGTGGGGAGTGTCTTTAGATCAGATGGCCAAAGAAGGCCTCTCCCAGGAGGTGACATTCCGGCGGAGATCTGAGCAAAGTGAGAACGGATGTCTGGGAGAGGAGCATTGCAGACAGAAGCAACACCAAGTGCAAAGGCCCTGGACTGGGACATGCCTGGCCTGTTCTCCAAGCAGAAAAGAGGCCACGGTGGATGAAGCAGAGGGGAGCTGGAGAGTGACATTATCCAACTTGCATTTTTTTTAAATTTTTTTTTTCAACGTTTATTTATTTTTGGGACAGAGAGAGACAGAGCATGAACGGGGGAGGAGCAGAGAGAGAGGGAGACACAGAATCAGAAACAGGCTCCAGGCTCTGAGCCATCAGCCCAGAGCCCGATGCGGGGCTCGAACTCCCGGACCGCGAGATCGTGACCTGGCTGAAGTCGGACGCTCAACCGACTGCGCCACCCAGGCGCCCCAGCCAACTTGCATTTTTAGAAGATCTGTGTGGCTGCGGGGTAGGACAGATTGTGGGGGCGAGAGCAGGGGGGAAGCCACTGCCCCTGATCCACGTGAGAGGTAACAGCAGCCCACACCAACATCAGAGCCAGGAGGTGGAGAAAGTGGAGTGGGATGAGAGGTCAAGTTGACAGCACCTGTGACTGGGTGCCAGGGGCAGGAAGGAGAAAGAGGGGTCCAAGGAGGATTCCTCAGTTGGGAGGCCAGGGAGACATGGGAAGGGGCCTTGGACAGAAAGCCTGGGGGTGGGGGAGGGGGTCCAGGCTGGAGAGCAAAATTTGGGAGCCGGCATAGAGTGGCATTTAAGGCCCTGCGACTGAATGAGACTACCTACAAAGGGGTGAGTGTAGACAGCCAGAGGCCCGGGGCCTGAGGTGGGCGGAAACCAGAAGTGTGGAGGCCTGGGAGGAGGCAAGAGTCAACCCGGTCAAATCCCTAGGATGAAACCAAACTCTGGAGCTGAGCGGGGACGCTGACCCTCAGGCACACGGAGCTGTTGGGAGGCAGGAACTATTTCTCCAGCTCTCTGGGATGAGCACAGCATCTGTACCCACACTGCCACACCAAATGCCTGTATTGCTGTATGCGCCTTTAAATGGACGGCACTGTTATCATTCTGAGTTCTACCAATAATAAAATAACACCGCTTCCGGTGTGCCAGGCATCCCACCAGGCCCTTTATATGTATTATCTCACTTAATCTTCGCAACGGACCCCCAGAGGTAGGGGCTATGGTTGCCCACAGTGTACAGCCAGGGAAACGGAGGCCCAGAGAGGTGAAGTGACTCGCTCAAAGCTGCACAGCAAGCAAGTAGACCTGGTGGGCTGGCTCCAGAATCTGTGTTCCCACCCCCACAAGGTCTGCCGCCGGCCCTTGTCCCTCAGCGTCATGGTTCTGAGCCATTGGTGTCGCCAGAGAGTGTAGATCTGTCCCCGCTCAGGCCATTTATTCTCCGGGGAGGCATGGACAGTCCGAATTCTACCAGACCGGTTAGATGGGATGGGCATGTAGGTTGTTTCCAATTTGTACTGTGGACAACACTGTAATGAACAGCCTTCTGGAGCCTCCTGCTGCAGGCCTGAGGTTCCCCTGGTGGGACTCTACTGGTCAAGGGACTTGTGACACTTTTAGTTTTCACAACTATTGTCCCATGAATTACTCCCCCAGAGGGCCTAGCCCAACGATCCGATGCCATGTAACGGTGTGAAAACCCAGGTTATTGTGACGAATATTCAATGTTGCCTATTCGGAAGGGTGGAATGGGGTCTTGGGAAGGGGGATATATTAAAGGGATGGGGGGGGCTTCTCCTGTCTCCCACTTCATCATCTCCAGCCCCCAGCCCGGAAACCCCCAAGAGGTGGGGCGGAGATCAGCCTGACCGCTTCCCCAGGAGGAAGGAAGGGCCAGGAGGTTCCTGCGACAGGATGCGCACTGAGGGCCCCCTCCCCAGCCGCCGGGGACTTCCCGGGGCAGGCCAGGTTCTCAGGGGAGCTGCTCCCACGCGAACGCACTGAACTGCCGCTGGGGTGTGGGCCTCCAGTCTCCCCCCCCCACCCCCACGTCCCACTGGGGAGTTACGGGTCAGGACCCCGAGTGGGTGGCGCTTAAGTCTCCCGTGTTTCCCCAGGAAAGAATCAGGTGGCCGCGGAGGCGAGCTGGGCTAGATTCCCCTGGGGGAACCCAGAGGGAGGCGGGGAGCGGGGTGGGTGGACGAGGCTGGAGGGGAGCCGGAGGCGGGAGTTCTGGGGCGGATCCACCCTCCATCTCACCCTCCTCCTTCCACCCTACGGCCTCGGGGTCAGGTCCCCCGGGGTCGCGGGAAGCTGGCAGGGCCGGAGCCAGCCGTCTGGAGGCGGGGCGGCTGCTTTCCCGGCGCCTCCCGCCGCCCTCACTGCCCGCACCTGCGGCTCCTTTGTCCTACTAACAGCCACCCCGCCACCCGCCCTGGGGCGACGCCTCGCAGCCCCTCTCCTAAATCAGCACTGGATACATTATGAGCGTTTTCTCCTCTGGGGTGACTAAAATGGAGCTGGGATGGAGCCAAAGCAAATAACTAGGGCTCTCAGGGGGGTGTTTCTAAATCCACGGCCACCTTTCGGGGAAGCTGTTTAGAGGCCCACTTCACAGATGGGGAGACTGAGGCTGGGAACCTCCCCTCCCAGCCCGAGTCACAAAGTGGTACCGCCAGAGATAAGAACAAGGGTATAAAGGGCGCCCCAAAGCGCACTTCAGCTCCCCCGCAAGCTGAGGGACCCCCGCCAAAGCTGATTCAGTCGGTCAAGTGGGGTGGGGGGAGGTGAGATCTGCCTGCCATCCTCCGAAAGCCTCCAAAGGAGGCGTGGCCTTCCCAATTCTGTTTGGGGCACTGGACCCATCGGTAATCCCCCTCAAAGGTCTGAGCTCGTCAAGCCCTCTCCGCTCCCCAGCCCGCCCCGCCCCCGCCTGCCCCGAGTGGCAGGATTTCGACGGAACCACCGAATGTGGGGGAGCTGAAGGAGTCAGAGGACCAGAGCACCCAGCACGGAAACGCTCTGGCAAAGGAAAGGGGGCCCAGCCCCATCCCGCCCACTCTACCCACGTGATAGCCGGTCAGACCGGTTTCTGGGGCCCCAGCAAGCCGCCGCCAGCTCCTGACCCCTTAACCCTGCCCCTCCCCCATCAGGGAAGAAAACCAGACGGGCAGCACAGACTTTATTCAAATGCTCTTTATTTTCCTATCTGGCGTTTCTAGCAAAAAGCCAGATAGATGAAATTAAACAGGATCCACCACAGTAAAGGTAAACAGACCTCAGCACGCCCTGGCAAGAATCTTCCCCTTCCCAAACTGGCCCAGTCTCACCAGCAACTGGTCCCAGCGCAGCCTTACAAGCGCTCTAAACACCCCCACCCAATTTTGTGATTCAGACCAGGATCGTCTGGGTTGTGTCTGTGTGTCTGAGGGACGGTCACGCCGGAGACTGGGAACGTATTACCACCTCTCACGCACCAGATGAGGAAAATTGTAACCTGAAATTAAATCGGGCCCCCACCTTGCCCCCGCTATACAGCCGAAGGCGCAGGGGCGCGGGGCACAAACCCGCAGCGCGCGGGGCGAGGTGACTCAGGACGCCCTCCTCCCATTCCCCAGGGCGGTCCACACCCCAGACCCTCCTCCCAGGCCCCACACCCACGCAAGGCAACAGGAAGCTCCCCACGTCTGCCCCATGACGCAACGATGACCGCTTGCACAAGTATGTCACTGGTGGGGGAAGGGAGCGCCTGCCTGGAATTCTGAGGTTGGAAATGCAAACACCAACTACTGAAAAACCTTGAAAGGGCAGTACAGCTCCCAATAAAAAATAAAGTCCGACCCTGAGGAGTTTTAAAGAACCTAGCCTCCCTGCTCCCAGTCCCAGAAGGAGAGGGAAAGGTCCACGTCCCAGTCCGTTAAGACAGCACCTGTGGGCGCAGCAGGTCTCGGCGGAAGGCGCTCGCGCTCCCCGCTCAGGCTCCTCGGCGCCGCCGCTGCGCACAGGCGGCGACGGCTCCCCGGGGGCAGAGTCCCTCTTCAGGCCTCTCAGCAGCCCGGGCGGCAGCTCCTCTCCACGGTTTCAGCGGGCGCTCCCCCGGGGGCGGGCCTCGCCTCGGGTGTGCGCACTCCGGCCGACGGTTCGGCCCGCGCTCTGGGCTCCCGTAGCGCCGCTCGGGGACCCTCAGAAGGCCACCACGGCCCGCACGAGCACGTTCAGCATGCTGTCCGCAGGGCGGCAGGCAGGCTTCGCCTCGCATGCCGGCGGCGCCGTCGGGGGGGCGGCGGGGCTGCAGTTCAGGAGGCCAGAGAAGCGCCTCTGTAGGACGCGCGCCAGGTTGGGGAAGGCGCCCTCCGCTTGAGCGGGAGGTGGCTGCAGGCGATCAGGGACCTCCGAAGAGGCCCCTGCCTCCTCCTCCTCTTCTTCTAGACGGGCTTTCTTGCTTGGGACCAGTCCGACGTCCCCGCCGTCACTCAGGCTGCTGCTCCGCCGCTTGCGGCTGACTTTAGTGGGGCGCGGGGCACAGGGAGCTGGGGTCTCCGCGGCTCCCGGCGCCTCCCGCGTGTCCATGGGCTCCGGGGAAGGCTGCTCACCGTCGGGGGGCGCTGCCTCGGCTACAGCTTCCGCTTCCCGCAACTGGTGCAGGCGAGGATCAGAGGAGCGGACGGGCGGCAAGGGCACCTCGGGCTCGTGGGCTTCCACCTTGGCCGAGAGGTAGAGCTCTCGCGCGCTGCGCATGACCAGCGACAGCTGCAGACTCCGGTGCAGCCGCAGGCCACCGCGCTGCATGCGCGAATGGTACATCTTCCACACCGACAGGGTCATGATGCGTTGAGCCTCCTTCTGCACCTCCATGGCGGCTAGACGGCGGGGGCGAGGACGGCGGGGGCTCCCTGACTGGGCAGGACAGGTAGCAGGTGCACTCCGGGCTACGCGCTCGTTCACGCTTCTCCCCTCGCGCCAACCCACGCCGTGACACTGCTAGGACGCTCTGCCCCGGCGCCCGCCACCCGGGCCCTTTTGTACCCCGGGTGAAGTCACGGAGACGCCCCGCCCAATCCGAGAGCCGCATCCGGGCTTCCCAAAGCACCACGGCGAGAGACTCCTTAAAGCGACAGGGTAGAATTTACCGAGGCGGGAGAAGGGAAGGAGTCGGGGCGTGGGGGAGCATTCCCCAGTCCACGCAGAGCTCTCGGGGTGGTCTCCTTTCCCAGGGCCCTCAATGAGCAGGCGCGCAGGCCCAGAAGAGCAGGGCGGTGGATGGGGGATCAGAGTCCACCCACGTGCTTGCGTTTGAAGCCCCAGTGGCTTGTAGGCAGCGAGTTTCCCTTCGCACCGGGGAAGACCGGGGTTCGAACCGGTATATCCCCCGTGGGCACAGTTCCTAGCAGCTACTAGGTGTCTAGTTAATATTTTTTGAATCAGTAACCGATTCGTATTTTTTGAATCAGTAACCGTGCTAACACTTACGAAAGCACTTACTACCCGTCAGGCGCTGTTAAGGGTTTTCCTTTACTAAATGCCTCACCTCCACTCCGCGGAGGGTACTGCTGTACCTGATTTCTTCCGCTGGGGAAATCGAGACAGAGTGACTCGTCCAATGTTTGCTAAACGAATAAACGGCCACTGCAGTGAAAGGGGACACTGGGGCCTCCAGCTCTTGCGTCTTTCTAGCGTAAGCCAGCCCTCCTCACTCCTTCTCTGTAGGCAGTAAGCAGGCGGGCAGCGGGGGCTGGCTCCTAGGCATAGCTGCCCACTCCACGGGCATTGGATGTCTGCAGACACGAACGCAGCCCTGGGTGTCATTCCTGCGCTCCACACCGAACACCCCCCCGCCCCTTTCCTCTACTCGAGCTCCACGGGTGGGCTGGGTGCTCGCAGGACGCAGGACCCGGGCTACAGGACAGTCCGGGTGAACACGTGGCTGCGCCCCTTAGACAACACGGCCCTGCTCCGCCCCTGCGCCCCAGGAAGCGTGCTTGGGGTAGGAGCTGTAAACTGAGCAAGGCAGAGATAGAGCGGATAGATAGAAAACATCGGCCCCACCCTCCGCTACGCCCTATTGCTCCAGTTCCTCCAAAACAAGATGCAAAATTGTTCCTATAGCTCCATTCATTCGTGGCAAGGGCCCTTTAAGGGAAGGCTCGTCTCCCTCCCTCCCTTGCCGCGCCGAAAGGAGAGCGGAGTCTTCCGGCCACTGGAAGCGCCAGACTTCCACGACTAAATTTGGGTATAATGACGTAGGGCAGGCGCGCGAGCCGCTTCCGGCTGCCCATATAAGGACAGGGGCCGGGATCTCCGCTCTGAGCTGAGGCAGCCTCCTTCCGGGCGGGCGGGGGCGGTGCCTGGCCTCCGAACACGCCCCCTTCCCTTCCCTCCCCCGCTCCCTGCAGCTAAGGAAGGCTGTAGTCCCGGGCTTCCGGACCAGAGTTTAGCAGGGTGGGCGGGAAAGGAGGGGAAGGCTTCGCTTCCTTCCCTCCGGCGGCCGAGAAGGCGTGACGCCTCTCCGGGAAGCCCCCCGCCGGCAGGTAGGGGCGATCTCTGGGCTTCCACTGACGCCATCTCCCAGAGACCCTCCCCAAAGACCTTGCTAACACGAGGGGCGATTCGCTGAGGACCCATTCGTCCCTGTTCCCCCATAGAGACCCACACAATTATTTCTCCCTACAAGGTTTTCTCCCAGGTGTTCCTTCTCCACCCCCCCCCCCC